TGCTGTATAAAAAAAAAAAAATATATAAGAAAGAAAACTGAACCTCAAATATTCCTCGCCTTAAATGGAGCAAGAACATTTCATTTGTAAGGTTCAATATGAACCTTACAAAGGTGCTGTTTCCCTGATTATACACTACACGTAGCCTGAGTTATCAGTAGGTATCTTGGTTTTAAACTTCAATAAGCTCTGCCAAACCACAGGCATTCACCAAGAGCATGCTATAGGATGAGGGCTGTGACTAAAAGTAGTGCTTTTGCGGGTACCCTCAAATCACGCTGAATTATAGCTATGCCTCAGACTACCATGTTCAAGAACGGGTGCACTATTATGTAAAAAGTATTTAAGGCCACCTGTTTTATTCAATAGGGAGGGGGAGCCGAAATCACTTTCAGAACAACAGTATTCCATTTCCCATGTGTTGCATAAGCAGGTAAACTAGTCACACCCATCTATAGTATACTATAATATTTTTACCATGGCGTAAGTTCCCTCACATTTCTGATTTTCTAGTGTTATGGACTTGTTTGCATTTTAGAACAGAAGTCAAATTTGCTACTTAAATGGCACTACTGGGAGACTGGACAGAAGATCCTTTTACATTGAATATGTTCACACCATATTAAAACATTTTCAGCAGCAATCTTAAAACTCTGAGAATCATAAGCCTGTTTACAGAAAATAAAAGTTATATGATCTAGCCCCCCTCTTATTCATCTAAACATTACCCAACATAAACAGAGTAGACACCACAAGATCTTATACCTTAAACCAGTGCACAGGCCAAATATTTTTATCTCTGAAGTAGTAGAAATCAGGACACACAATGCTTGTAGTTGATGACTTTAGTATATATTGAGTATAGGAAAATTTCTTATTGTAACACAAACCATTAGCAGTTTTGAAAACGTTTATATTTAAATATATTTTGTTGCAGCTCGTTACATTCCTACAATGAAAATAAAGTAGCTAGATTAGTTGTAATATATTTCAACTTTATATTCTTTTCTTCTAGATAGCTAGCTCTCCTTGGTAACTTCCAGGGAAGCTCTGAGATCAGACTGGAAAGCTGGGAATGTAGCTCCATCCAGAAGAAAAACCATTCCGCTTCAGTACATGAGAGCCCCGAAACAAAAATAATCCCTCCACTGGCATTTTCCTGACAGTCATGTCCATAATACATTCCTAGACCAACTAAAACAGAAAGGATGTGGTCATGTACGATATGGCACAAAATGTTACTTGTGCTTATGAAAAAATTAAGAGCCATATCCTGAGGTGCAGCTGATCTGCTCAGAAGACAAATCAGTGTGTGTGTATGAACACACACAATGGCAGCATGGAACTTAAACCATATTAAATCTGTAGAATGTTAAGCAGTCTTAAAGTTAAAACATGCTTTGAGCACTTCCATGTTCAGGGTCAATACTGTTTCTTACCTTCACGGCTGACTTGCCACAAGAGTGCTCATGAGCAGGGCATGGCCAAGAGCCAGGACACCTGAGCTCTATCCTTGTTCTGGGTGGGAGGAGGAGGTGGGGAAGGGAAGTTGGGAGCAGTGCATCCTTGGATACTTGAGGGCTGCATATTGCTCATTTTATCTCTGTGGAATGGACTGAAGTTACCCTAACACAAGCTAGGTAGTACAGCCCACAGTTAAACCTCCCCTGAAGTGGTGCAACTTTGAGGTGCTCAGAGGACACTCAGCATGAGTTAATAAGCTTGAATGTGCCCATAGCACAGTCCCCCAAGGGCAGGTGCAGGCAGGGCAAACCCCTCTGCCCACTGCCACTACCACTTTTGCTATTTCCAGCTGAGCCCAGCCCCCAAACAGCTTGGCTGGAGCAGGCAGGAGAGGCTTTGAAGCTTCCCCCTCCCCCTGGAACAGCAGGGAAAAACAGCAGCCAGCAGGGGAGGAGGAGAAGAGGAGGGCAGGGGCATGGAGAGGAAGGTGGGGAGGGATTCTTACATGCTTTGGGGACTTTAAAAAGGCCCCAGAGCCACAGGCAGCATGGAATGCCCTCACCAATGGGCTGGGAGAGGAGGCTGGGAGTGGTGGGGGAGGGTGCAGCCACCCCTGCAGCATGAGTGACTGCTCCTGTGCCCATCTTTGCCAAATCCTGGATCCATCCCTGGTACATATATGAATATATATGGACTTATATAGATCTCTGATGAACTGAGCTTTAGCTCATGAAAGCATGTGCTCTATATGCACATACATACTTTGGTTAGTTTATAAAAGGTGCAAAGCTATCCTGCTTTCTACTTTACTTCAGACTTACACAGCTGATATGTCTCTCTACGTCACTTTGAAGAATGACAGCATGGGCGCAAGTCTGTAATTCTGAGATTTGGGATAGGAGTCCCCCCTTCCACACATCCACCCCACCATCAAAAGAACCAACATGGACAGATCCATCTTCAGCTGGAATTGTTTTTCATGGTGCCACTCAAGTGAATGAATGTATATTTGTATAAACTGTCAGTAGGCCCCTGTTGCACTGGATTCCCTGTTAGATCTACTCCAACCAAAATCTCATATCACAGCTGAGGTACACTGAAAATTATTCCTCTGAAAGTTTTTTCAGTGAAGAATGCTTTTCATTTAACATCTTTCCAATGTTAGTTATGATTTTTTACTAAATGATTCAAAACAATTTTTAAAAAAAAAGTATCATCAACTCCCCCACCACCAAATGCTTTAATTTCATTGAATTCATTTGAAATAATTGTATAAAAATAGGAAAAAAGTTAATAATTTGTAAATAAGTTCAAACTAAACCAAATTTTTCCTTTAGTTCAAAAGTTTCCATAACCAATACTTACCATTTTCCAACCAGCCTTAATCCTGTTGTATTGCCCCTTAAGATAAATATAACAGGCTACAGCCTCATCAAAATCAACACTAAAAGCATAATATACACATGGTGTATAATATACTCTATAAAAGTGCTTGTGAAGAGAAAACTACAAAGTAATTCTACATTACTATCAGAAAATATTTTAAATTATTTTGAGCTAATTTCCACAACAGTGCAGAAAACTAAAGAACCAAAACAAATTAAAACAATCCCTTACTGTACAATACATTCATAGGATCCAGAGTCTTCTAAAGTTGCAGGCATAAACCAAAGGACATTCCCTTCCTGATGTACTCTGGAATGTTTATTTTTAGTCACAGGCATTTTTTCTCCACTTCTGTACCAAGTCAGGTTCTTTTTCAGCTGCTGAAGTTTCAATACATTACCCAATAAACAATCAGTAGCAAGAGGCTGCCCTGTCAGTACAAATACTGAACTTTGGTTAAGCAGTTCATCACTTGAGTCATATATTTGGCATTCCTCTAAAAAACAGAGACAAAAAACAAGTGAGTATGAAACAGGTTTTCAGCATCATTTTTCAGGATGAACAATTCCAGGTATGCATGCACAAAATAGAAGGTACACTATAATGATACTAAACAACTTTTGGGGGAAATTTTACACACAGGAATCACAGTTTGAATAACAATCTAAAATCCTATCCTGATGTCTATTTTATACATAGGTATTAAAATTTAATTAAAAGACATCACCTTCCATATCAAAACCCAAAACTGTTCCTGCAACTACTGTATGTACCCAAATCCAAGACAACTTTGAATTTAAGATGAACCTCCATAACTACATTCTATATATGGAAAATTATAAATGTTATAATTTTCCATGTATAGAATCTAATTGCCTTAAATTTAAGAGAAATAAAAGATCAAAAAGTAAAACAGCTTTGTAATGAGAATATTGGAATGCCCTAAAAACAGAATTCTTCTTAGCACCACTCTGTGGGCCTGTCTATGAGATGCTTAATGCACAGTAGACTAAATCTACTGAGTATTACAGCATTACATTAAAAACCATGCTAATGCACTAATATGCAGTAGAATTAGTCTACTCCACATTACGCATCACAAAAAGACCATGCACTGTTGCTACTGTGCATTTAAGTAGTACTACATATCAGAGGTATTAAACTTAATACACCGTAGCAACAGCACATTAACGTACATGTAGACTTGCCTGTATCACTTAAATCTGTAAAACAAATACCATATTTACTCAAATCCACGATGAGATTTTTCCCCGCCACACATTTCTCGTGGGGAAAAGGTTCATCGCCTTATATCTGAGGACGATGCAGTATGGGGCAAGGCTCCAGCCCCAGCTCACAGCCAGACATTTGTGGCATAGAGTAAAAATTCATGTGACATTTGGGTAAAAATTCAGAACCAAGTTACTTTTACTTGTATGCATAAAAAACAAAACAGAGAAACACTGGTCAACCTACCTGTCTTGACTAAAAAGAGAAAAACTAGGCTTATACTGCAGGTAAACAAATCTGTGTTCATTATGTTGTACTACAAAGGAGAGAAAAGAAAAGATTTTCAGCAACATCTTTCTAGATCATATAACCAAAAGTGACAAGAATCCAAATTAAAACTTAAAATTATCTCTGTTCTCATCTAAAAAAATATATATATATATAAAGGTACTTTATAGTGTCATAAAAAGTAGGGCTGAAAAGGACCACAGGAGACCCCTGCTCAAGACGAGATCATTCCTGATTAAACCATCCCAGTCAAGTACCCAGTCAACAACTATAGAGGAGTATAAGAGTATTGCCTCAGTATGCAGAGATGAAATCAGGAAGGCCAAAGCACAACTGGAGTTGCAGCTAGTAAGGGACATGAAGGATAACAAGAAGGGTTTCTACAAGTATGTCAGCAATAAGAGAAAGATCAGGGAAAGTATGGGTCCCTAACTGAATGAGAGAGGCAACCTAATGACAGATGATACATAAAAGGCTGAAGTACTCAATCTTTTTTTCACTTCTGTCTTCACAGGCAAGGTCAGCTCCCAGACTACTGCACCTGGCAGCACAGTTTGGGGAGGAGGTGAGCAGCCCCCAGTGGCAAAATAATAGGTTAGGAACTATTTAGAAAAGCTGGATGTGTACAAGTCCATGCAGCCAGATGGAATGCACCTGAGGGGGGCCGATGCGATTGAGAGCCACTGGTTAGCATCTTTGAAAACTCGTGGCAGTCAGGAGAGTTGCCAGATGACTGGAAAAGGGCAAATAAAGTACTCATCTTTAAGAAAGGGAAGGAGGAAGATCCAGGGAACTACAGATCAGTTAGCCTCAACTCAGTTCCTGGAAAAATCATGGAGCAGATCCTCAAGGAATCCATTTCCAAGCAGCTGGAGGAGAAAGTGGTGATTAGGAACAGTCAGTATGGGCCCACCAAGGGCAAGTCATGTCTGACCAAACTGCTTGCCATCTACCATGAGATGACTGGCTCTGTGGATGTGGGAAGAGCAGTGGACATGATATACCTTGACTTTAACAAGGCTTTTGTTGTGGGAGACAGTATCATCCCCACAAGCAAGTTAAGGAAGTACAGGCTGGATGAATGGACTGTAAGGTGGACAGAAAACTGGCAGGATCGTTGGGTTCAAAGGGTAGTAATCAATGGCTCGGTGCCTAGCTGGCAGTCAGTATGAAGTGGAGTGCCCCAGGGGTTGGTCCTGGGGTCAGTTTTCTTCAATATGTTCATCAGTGGCCTGGAAGATGGGCACAAACTGATTGAAGATTGCTTCAGACTAGATGCAAGTAAAAACTTCTTTACAATTCGAGTACCAAGGTTTTGGAACAGGCTCCCCCCAGAGGTAGTACAGTCACCCACCCTGGCAATCTTCAAAAAGCATCTTGATACCCATCTTGCTGAGGTAATCTGATCCCGGGCAGTCTTTCCTGTCCAAGTGCAGGGGGCTGGACCCCATGATCTGTAAGGTCCCTTCCACACCCTAAAAACTACGAAGCCATAGACTGCACCCTCAGCAAGCTTGCAGATGATACCAAGCTGGGGGAAATAGTAAGTATGCTGGAGGGTAGGGCTAGGATTCAGAGAGACCTAGACAAATTGGAGGATTGGACCAAACCAAATTCAGAGAGTTCACTAAGGCCAAGTGCCAAGTCCTGCACTAAGGATGGAATAATCCCACGTGCCAATAGAGACTGGGGACCCACTGGCTAAGTAGCAGCTCTGCAGAAAAGGACCTGAGGGTTACAGTGAACAAGCAGCTGAATATGAGCCAACAGTGTGCTCTTGTTATGAACAAGACTATCAGCATACTGGGCTGCATTAGTAGGAGGAGTATTGCCAGCAGATGGAAGGAAGTGATTCTTTCCCTCTATTTGGCACTGGTGAGGCCACATCTGGAGTACTGTGTCCAATTTTGGGCACCCCACTACAGAAAGGATGTGGACAAAGTCCAGTGGAAGGCAACAGAAATAGTTAGGGGGCTGGGGCACACGATGTATGAGGAGAGGCTGAGGGAACTAGGCTTGTTTATTCTGAAGACAAGAAGACTGAGAGGGGATTTAATAGTAGATCAGATGAAAGATTTTCCTACTAGGAGATTAGTAAAGCACTGGAACAGGTTACCCAGAGAGGTGGTGGAATCTCCATCCTTTGAGTTTTTTGGATCTGGCTAGACAAAGCCTAGGCTGGTATAATCTAGTTGGGGAGTGCAGGGGGTGGGGATCCTGCTTTGAGCAGAGGGTTGAATTAGATGGCCTCCTAAGGACCCTTCCAACACTTACTTTCTATGATTGTGTACTTGTCTAACCTGCCCTTAAAAATTTCCAGCATAGAAATCCCACAGTCTCTCTGAATAGCCTGTTCAAATGTTTATCCACCCATTAACCAATCAATGCTCCTTGTCCTGTTCCCTGCAACCACAGTGAATAGACTGCCTCCATCCTCTTGATAAATGCTCATAGGGTATTTAAACACTGTTATCAAATCCCCCATCAGTCTTTTCTTCTGCAGCCCGCACAACCCTAGTCCTTTCAGCATGACTCATAAATCATGCTTCCCAGACCTCTATTAAATACTTTTGTTGCTCTCTGCTGGAATCTTACTGATTTGTCCACATCCTTCTTGAAGTGCTCCAGGTGAAGCCTCAACAGTGCAGAACAGAGCAGGAGAATCATTTCCTTGATTTGGAAGCACCACTCTTGTTAATACTGCCTATTTTGCTGTTGGCCTTTTATTGTAAAAAAAAGTGTATACTATTGGAAGATATTCAACTTCTGACACTTTATAACCCCAGGTCCCTTTTTGAAGTAGTGCAGCCTTGCCATACATTCCCCAGTCTATTTGTACAAGAGATTTTTCCATCCTAAGTGCAGGACTTCACGCTTGCCCTTAATTAATTCAATTTGATTGATTTTGGACAATTTCTATGATTTAATCAAGATCATTCTGAATCCTAGCCCTACACTCCAGAGCACCTGCAAATCCACCCAATTTTGAGACATCTGCAAATTTGCTAATTGTACACTCAATCCAACACTGGGCCCAGGACAGACCCTTGAGGAACCCCTCTTGATGTCTTCTACAAAGCAGAAATTGAACAATTGATGACTGTTCATTAAGCATGATGATCCAAACCATTATGTATCCACCTTACAGTACTTTAATCTGACCTATATTTCTTTAGTTTTGTAATGAGAACATCATGGAAGATGGATCAAAAGGCCTGCTAAAGTCAAGATGCATCACATCCACTGCTGTCCACAGAGGCTGGCATTCTGCTGAGAAGGAAATCAAGTTAATCAGACATGACTTGCTTTTGCAATTTGATCTTGCACTTACATTTTAGCTGCTCCTGAACACGTTGTTCTCCTCCAGGTGTTTAGAAATACACTCCTTGATGGCCTGATCCATAATCTTTCCAGGTCAGACTAACTGGTCTACAATTCCTCAGACTCTCATTCTTCCCTTTCTTAAAGATGGACACTGGAGTTGCCCCTTTTTCAGTCATCTGGGACCCCACTCAACCCTCCATAGGTTCTCAAAAGATGATAGCCAAAATTCTGAAATTTCCTTAGCCAATTCCTTCACTACTCTAGAACATATTCCATCCAGCCCAGACAACTCGAAATGACCAACTTCTCCAGAAATGAAACCAGGATTTTACAAAGTGGATACTGGAGCAGCAACTGATGCGATGGGTGGCTACATCCCCCACTCCGAGCCTCCTCCCAAGGATGGACAGGCAGCATTAGCCAGGGACATTTTTTAGTCCCCAAACCAGGTAAGAATTTCCACCTTTCCCTTCCCTGCTCAGAAGCATGTCCCCTTCCACGCTTGCTGTTGCCTTGGGCAGAGCTCAGCCCCCACACAGGCCAACTGGAGCAGCTCTGAGCTTACCTCACCCGCAGACAGCAGCAGCAGTGGTGGAAGGCATTCTACTGAATAAATAGTCATCTGTAAACTGGAACTTGGCAATCATTCTGTAGCAACAACAGAGCAGCAGGTTTTATGGGATTTTGTTTGTTTACTTGTTTTTAAGAAAAATTAAGAATGACATCAATGGAAACTACAAGAGAAGTTGACAGGTTGCAAAACACCAAGTTAAAATCTGAACAGTATAAAAGTTAACTGCCTAATTCCTTGTGTTAGTCTATTAATAATAATTTCTCTCACACATCAAAGTGTTGAACTTTCGAAAATTTTCTGATTAGTTCTATTAGCTTTATAATTAGTCTATTTTAGCTACCAAATACATAATAAAATTAGCATAGGTAGACTTTGTGCAAAAGAAAGGTGTTCCATGGATTCCTACATGGAGTTCACTGAAGCCGGATCAGGGCCTCAACATCTAAAAGCCTTACCTAGGACAAGGCATCTGTGCTGTACAAGCTGGGAAAGGCAATATATTCTGCCTCTGAGCGGAAGGAAGAGAAATTTCTGTTGGACAAGTTTCACAGACGCACTTACTGGTCTATGCTGCAGCATCTGATCTAGTTCTAGATTGGCTAGAAAAATCACACACAACACAGCTTTGCTTGACCACTCAATGGTTCCCAAAATGAGCCTTTAAAACCAGAATTTCTATTCCCTGCCTCTTCCAACTAGACCCAGTTTGACAATCTGTTTTCTAAACACTTCCCCCTGCACCACTTCATGTTTACTTCCACCTTACCAGGTTAGTTTCACAATAGGACTCTTTGAAAAGAAAACTGTGCAACAAAAGCCACAAATCCTCCCCTGTGAATCTCCTAGAGTCAGTTCATCCAAGTTCCTGAAACATATACATTCATTTTTCTAGACCTGCCCTGCCTACTTCTGGGCTCTACAGAAGTAGGTGCAAGCTGAGGAAGAATACCTAGATCCTGTCCTAGGCTCCCCCATCACCTAGAAACTGCCACGCCAGGCACAACATCTAAAAATACTCCGTCTAGCACATGCATCCATTTCACTGGCACTTTCTCCATCTCCCTTGTATAACTCTCAAAAGCCAGCTTGTCCACTTCTGTTCCACTTTCTAACCATTAAAGTTGAACCACCACTTCATACTATTCAGTTTTTATTTAAAAAAAAACAAACAAACCACAACACACTTATAATTTCTAACCATCACATTCTGATTTTGCTACACAAGAATAATTAGAAAATTTGAGTGTACAAAAAGAATAGCAGGAATGACCATTTCAGCCCTTGTTCACAGTTGCAACTGTGACATAAATATCGTCTAAGAATTCTTCTTCCTGTTTGGCCAATTTCTCTGACTTTTCACCTAAATTGTTAGCTACAACAGCAAAAATTCTTATTGGAAGTGTCAATCACTTCTAAAATATTAAAATACTACACAGCATTTATTCCAACATACCTACAAGTTTCAAACAAAGAATATTAATAGCACTTTTTAAAGAAAGATAATGTATGGCCTGAGAAATGAAACAAACTAAAAACTATGTAGAATGTGTTATGTTTAAAGGATTAATAGAAAGGAAATACCATACTTTTCATTTTAATGAGTGACTGGGTACCAGCAAATTTAATTTTGGTTATTTTTCTGGCTTTAAACAGGATTGTGTTTAACATAAAAGTAATATGTACATTTATTTTATAAGCAAATCCAATAAGGATCAAAGTTAAGCAGATCAATCAAATAAGAAAATCTCACCTCTTTAGCTCCTGCACCATTGATCAGAGTATCTAAATGAGCTCGATCCCAATAAATCCTTCAAAGTGGCACTTAAGATGCTTGCAAAGAAAAAGGAATACATGCTGGGAGCCTGTTAAAAGGGTCTTTTTTCATTTGTCTGCAACAAATAACCACCATTGTTTAATGTCTGTGACTGCATACAGCTTCATAGTTTCATAGTTTCTAGGGTCGGAAGGGACCTGAGTAGATCATCTAGTCCGACCCCCTGCCATGGCAGGAAAGAGTACTGGGGTCAAACGACCCCAGCAAGGTGTTCATCTAACCTCCTCTTAAAAACCCCCAGGGTAGGAGCCTGCACCACTTCTCTTGGAAGTTGGTTCCAGACCCTAGCCGGTTGTTAGTTTGGAGTTCGCTTACATAGCGGTAGCATCACTTGTCATCTCCTCCAAGATTGTCCATCATTTTTGGTTAC